GGGGCCTGGGGATTCCCCGGTTTTACAGCTCATCTCCAGACTGCAGAGATCAGTTCCCCTGGAGAACATGGATGCTTTGGAGGGTGGACTCCATGGCATTGTGTCCCCCAAGGTCCCTGTCCTCCCCAGGCTCCACCCCCAAATCTCCAGGAATTTCCCAACCTGAATCTAGCAACCCTACCTGCCCCAATGGTGGCCAAGGGGGAATCTGGCAACCCTCAAACAAGAACAATAAACTTAGGCCCTGTTCACACGAGGGGTTTTGGGCTGGGAGAGGGACGGATCAGGGCCGCAGCAAACAGGCGCGATCCCACAGCAACATCTGGGAATCGTGCTGCACCCGTCCCCCATCCGTCCCTTCCGCCGAAAAAGCGCACCAAAAAAGAACCACCTAACCGGGTGGTTCAATCAAAAGGGCCGCGGCAAGTGTGGCCGTGGGATCAGCGGCGCGTCCTTGCGCCGGCGCATCCCCGCCCCCCGGCCAAACTGTGCATGCTCGAGCATGCGCAGTTCGGCAGCCTCCCCCTCCCACTCGTCTCTTCCTCCCCGGCATCTGATCGTGCCGGGGAGCAACGGCGTGCAGCTCATGGGATCCGTGGGATCCCACCCGCAGCGTCTCTATTTTGGTGCGGCTCTAAGTAGCTGCACTTTCACCGGTGTTTTCCCTGCCATGTGGCAGGGGCCTTAGTTTGATCCTTGGATCTGTTAAACATCTTCATTATGCTGTATGATAAGTAACTGCTCACCCTCCGCCTCTATAATATATGGACTGGTAATTTCCATTTTTGTTTCTGTCTTGACTCTAATTGGCCTTTCCTGGCAACTAACCCGCCCCTCCCATGTAATGGTTGAGGAAATTCTGTTTCACTGTATCTGACGAAGTGTGCTTGCTGGTCTTAAAGGTGCCACTGGAGTCAGACTTTGTTCTGCTGCTTCAGATCAACATGGCCGCCCACCTGAATCTTGTTACAGGGAGTCTGTTATTGTATCTGTTATCTTATACGTAAAACAATAAACAGATCTTAATGAGGGAAAAGAGTCCCGCATTTGGAGACTGTGTTATTAATAATTCACAAGTTAATAATTCACAAGTTTTAATTAGTATTTTGCCTTCAACTGTTGTTTAGAAAGGTGTGCTGTGTGTGGGTTTTCATAAAGAATGCTATTTTGATGGTCTTCCTTCTAAAACATGGCAAAGGTCTTGTTGCAGGGGTGGTGGTAGTAATGACTTGAAATATTATATCATCAATTTGATTCTTTCAGGGATTGACTGCAAGCCTGGTTGCCATCCACTCTATGGATTTTGTGAAGTTCCCGGTGAATGCAGGTAAATTAACTCGCAACTCTGCTGGCAGAGAGAGAGAGAGTGAAGCTCACATGGTCTCATTTCAGGATCCCTTGGGTTTCAGCTTCGTTTTCAAGGGTTGAATAGTGTGTGAATAATCTGTCTGAAACAGAGATTGTTCTTCAATTAGAATTGTGTGGAGTTTTAAAAATAAATGCGGTCATTCTTGAGTACCTCTAGGAATTAAATTGTAAAGAGCAACGATGTTGGGCTCAGAGACGTGACACTGTGCTTTGGAGGTTCTATTGAACCATTGAGGATTTAGGAGCCTGCGACTCAGGCTGTGTTGGGCCAACACGCACAGGCCCTGTTAGAACTGCAGCCGTTCTGCTGATTGGCTGTTTGAAAGAGGAAATGGCTCCCTCCACCACCCTTCCTGATCAGTTAGGGTTACCAACCTTCAGGTGGTGGCTGGAGATCTCCTGGGATTACAACTGATCCTCTGGGATACAGAGGTCAGTATACCTGGAGACAATGGCCACTTTGAAAGGTGGATTCTATGGCACTCTACCCTGTCAAAGTCCCATCGCCTCCCCAAACCCCGCCCTCAGGTGCCACCCCCAAAATCTCAAAGAATTCCCAACCCGGAGCTGGCAACCCTGTGGATCACCAGTTTTCTACCAAGGGCTGATTCCAGGAGTGAAAATGGCCCTGGAACATTCCAGGGACCCCTCAGCCCAGCAGTTCCAGCAATGGGAGTTAACCTCCTCCATTGCTTCTTCTTTTAAGCTGAAAGCAGTGCAGGAGACAATGGGTGAACTGCCACCAATTAGTATTGTGTTTTTTTTGGGGGGTAGTTTTTTTTTATTTACAAAAATATACATGTACATTTCATCTATTTCGTTTACATAGATATCAGAGTCTTTCCCCTCTTACTTTTTTGTGCCAATTGGGGATATTACTTTTCTGTACCAATTAGTATTGTTAATGGTATGAGCCAAGCAGCCCCTGAAGAATTGGTGGAATTGCTGGGGCTTGGCTGTGCTTAGCCACCAGTGGCACTCTAGGACAGTGGCCCACTGGGAAATTTCCCTGGAAATTAAATGGCCAATCCGCCTGAGGCTACTTCCAACAATTGGGTCAGGGGAAGGGCTCCTTCTGGTAGTGGAGTCCGCCTCTGTTTGCATGTGTGGGTTTTCATTCATCTCTGATGTGCAGGGGGAGTCCTACTTCTATGGCACCTTGCTGGAGCAGGGCGATGTTGTCCAGACTGTTTAAACATCAAAAAGTATGTACAAGACTTTGCACACATGGCGCTTAAAATGTGACACCCCCCCAAAAAAAGCTCTTCTTCTGCAAGTCTTCAGGGTTCACTTCAGAGGAGAAGAGAGCTCTCTATATGCAAAGAAGCCCGTGTGGAGCTCTCCGCTGCAGTGAATAAGATAATCCATATGCCCAAAACTCACATGCGAATGGGTGCACATATGGGGCTCTGAATTGGAGGTAGAAGGTGACCCGCTTGAAACTAAAAAATAAAAGCCAACTTCATCAGATATCTGAAAAAGTTGAAAAAAACATTTAATGGTATTTCTGGAGTGCTTCTGTGTAAAGTGGGGAGCGGCCATGGCTCAGTGGCAGAGCATCTGTTTGGCATACAGAAGGTCCCAGGTTCAATCCCTGGCATCTCCAGTTAAAAGGACCAGGCAGTAGGTAGTGGGAAAGACCTCTACCAGAGACCCTGGAGAGCTGCTGCCAGTCTGAATAGACAATACTAAACTTGATGGACCAGTGGTACGAGGCAGCTTCATGTGTGTGCGTCCATCTCTCTGTGTGTTCCTGTGTTAAAGAACTGATATTCCTTTTGTGTTCTATTTGCTGAAATTATTGTCTTCATTTATTTAAATGTCCGTGTTCAATAGCTGTCCTGAATCATCTCAATCAGTGCTCATATCTTGTGCATTCCAAACCAGAAGCTTGGTGAATGGTGTTGGCAAAAGGGGTCTGACCCGGGCTTAGCACCTGTTGCCTTGTGTCTCTTGCAGGTGCCAACCTGGCTGGCAAGGCCCTCTCTGTGATCGGTGCATCCCTTTCCCAGGTTGCCAGCATGGAGCCTGTGCCAAACCGTGGCAATGCATCTGTGAAGAAGGATGGCTCGGCAGCCTTTGTGACACAGGTTTGCAAGTACTTCCCTTTCTCAGGGCAGAGCTGGGCATGGTTCTCTGATCCTTTTAGTCAGTACTCCCCCTGCCCCATTTTAAGTAGAATGCAGCCTCTATTTAAAGGGGGCGATTAGGAACATAAGACGAGACCTGCTGGATCAGATCAATGGTCCATCTAGTCCAGCATCCTGTCTCACACAGTGGCCAACCAGTTGTTCTGGATGGCCAACAACGGGGCACAGAGGCCAAAGCATTCCCCTGGTGTTGCCTCCTGGCTCTGGGATTCAGAGGATTAGTGCCTCTGAATGCGGAGGTTCCCCTCAGCCACCATGGCTAGTAGCCATTGGTAGACTTATCCTCCATCGATCTATCTAATCCCCCCTTTAAAGCTGTTTATTCCTGTGGCCATCACTACATCCTCTGGCAGTGAATTCCACATTTTAATCACTCTCTGTATAAAGTAGCATTTCCTTTAGTCTGTCCTGAACCTACAGCCCATCAGGTTCATTGGATGCCCTCGTGTTTTAGTATTTTGGAAGAGGGAGAAAAATTTCCCTTTGTATCCATCCCATGCATAATTGTATAGACCACTATCATATCCACCCTTAGTTGTCTCTTTTCTTTTTTGGTGTGGGGAACGAGGGCCTCCAGTGTCTTCCTTAATTATGCATTTGGCCCCAGTGGGAGGAAAAAGACAAGGACCCATATCTTTCTTTACTCTGGGGCAAAGAACATCTGGCAATTTGTATTAATGGCTCTTTTGTGATAAAGAGGGATTTCAAGTCACCAAATAGAGTAGTTACAGCACCACCTGGTGTTGAAAATGTGTAAGAGTTTAAGTATTTTCTTTCGTTTTGGAACAAAGATAACTTTGCAGCAATTCAGGTGATAAATACCCCTCCTATTTAAGCTGTGATAATTGCTACTAATGAGGAATGTCCCTGACCTTCCAACCCTAGAGGAGGACATTTTCATCCATTTTTTAAAAAGAGCTCAAAAGGGGATGGGCACCCAAAAAGGCAGACCTGACCTCTAAAAAGAGGACATCTGGTAGCCCTACTGTAATGTATTCCAGAGAGCTAATGGTATTCGTCTGGACTGATTTCTGTCATCTGAAGGCCAGTTGTAATCAGTGGCATACCACGGGCAGGGCAGTGGGAGCAGTCCACCCTGAATGCAGGCAATAAGGGGGCACATTGTCTGTAGAGAATTTAAAAACAGTAATATTTACCTTAGTGTCCCACCACCCTGGCTTGAAAGAACATGGTTAATTAGGCTAATTAGTGCTGGGCGTGGAAGGGCTGGAGAGGCCGGGATTGCCATCGTTGAGTGCCCTGGGTGAGCACCTCCATCTTGGGGATTTTCAGCCATTGGGATTGCCATCGCTGAGTGCCCTGGGTGAGCCAGAAGACAGCACCTCCATCTTGGGGATTTTCAGCCATGGCTTGGTGGAGGATGCTTCCCTTATTGGACGTGCCGCGCTGAGCAGGCAGAAGTGATGGACGGAGGCCGAGCGGGCAGGGCTGCCACCAAGGGGCAACAAGCGAGGAGTGAATCAGGAGAACAGAAAAGGAAAGAGGAGCGGCGGGAGGGGGAGTTTAAAATTTTTTCCAGGTGTCATTTACGCTAGGTACACCACTGGTTGTAACCAGTGTTCCCTCTAAGCTGAGTTAGTGTGAACTAGCTCACAGTTTTTAGCCTCTGGATGACACATTTTTTGTCTTAGCTCAGGAAGGAGGGCTCCAGAGCAAACTAACTTATGCAGTAGCCAAATCTCCTCGCTCACAACTTTCATGCCAGTAGCTCACAAAATAATTTTTTTGCTCACAAGACTCCACAGCTTAGAGGGAGCATTGGTTGTAACCAGGGCTTTTTTTGTAGAAAAGGCCCAGCAGGAACTCATTAGCATAATAGGCCACACCCAAGAGCAGGAACTCATTAGCATATTAGGCCACACCCCTGACAGCACACCCCTGACAGCACAGCATATTAACATATTAGGCCGCACCCCCATGTTACCAGAGGTGTGGCCATCCAGCCACACCCACCTTTTGCTTCTTATTCTGTTGGCCTTGTTTGTTGTCAAAAACCAGGGCTTTTTTATAGCAGGAACTCCTTTGCATGTTAGGCCACACACCCCTAATGTAGCCAGTCCTAATGAGTTTCTGCTGTTGGGTGTGGCCTATTATGCTAATGCGTTCCTGCTGGGTGTGGCCAACTTAGGAGCCAGCTGGAACTCGTTCCTGTGCGTTCCTGCCCAAAAATAGCCCTGGTTGTAACCCCAGGAGATCTCCAGCCACCAACTGGAGGTTGGCAACCCAAAGTTGCAATCAATTTTTTTAAAGTCTGCTTACCCAGTGGTTATTACAGAAAGTGTGCAGTCCTAAGCAGAGTTGTGTGTGTGTGTGTTAGTTATGTGCTGCTGTCACTTCCAGCTTATGGTGACCCTATGAATTAATGACCTCCAAAACATCCTATTCTTAATAGCTTTGCTCAGGTGGGTCCTGAACTGGCTATTCCTGTTTGGGCATTTTTTGTTTGAGTTCGGTTCGGGTTCGGTTTGGGAACCAAACGAATCCCCAACCCAAACTGAAATGTTCTGGTTCATGCCCATCCCTATACAGTTGCACTCACTCCCACTTCTACCTCCGACTTATATACACCCCTTCCCATAACAGCAGTTCTCTTAAAGAAATACACACCCGTAAGCCACACCCACTTACCTGTCTTTTTTCTGGCAGTCCACGGTATCCGTAAAAATCTCCTTCAACACATTTCAAATGAATTAACTTTCTTCTTGTCCAATCAGCTTTCTTCATTTCCCACCTTTCACAGAGTTACCCTTTTCCAAGTCCACTGAAGGCAATGAATGGGAGTTAGAAATGCATACTAATGGGGAAAAGTATGAGCTTACCTTAAAACACAGTGAGTGTTGTTGTAAAAATCTATAGCTGCTGTCAGTGATGATGGTGAAAAACCTATCTTGTTATCATCAGTTGGTGTTTTTTTTTAAATCTCTAATCCAGCTGTTCATCCGTGCTCTTCAAAACCTTGTATGAATAACTCGACTTGCATAGAAACTGGCGAAGGCGGCAGATATATTTGCTTGTGCATTCAAGGATACGCTGGGAAAGACTGCCACGTGAGAAAGGGGCCCTGTATAGTTAACGGGTAAATATGGATATATTTATGCTTATTATTGGGGGTGGGGTTGCCTTTTGATAAGTTTACACTTCTTTGGGCCTAACGAGGGATGAAGTGGGCAGCCTTGTTTACTGTGATTGTTGAATTTTAATGCTGTTTTAAGTCTAGTATTATTGTATTTTTATTGATGTAAGCCACCCTGAGCCCTGCTTGCATAGAAGGATGGCCTAATAAGTCTAAATTAAGAAAGAAAGAGCAATAGGGAGGTGTGTAGAGCTGAACCCACCTTAGAACAATATGCTTCCTATCCCCGAGGCACTTTATTTCCAGCTTGTAAGACTAGGGTCTAGATAGGGTTGCCACCACCAGGTCTGGAAATACCCAGAGGTCTGAAGGTGGTGCCTTGGAAAGTGGAGTTTAAGGAGGAGAGTGTCAGAACCCACAGCCAACAACGAAGTACACGCATTCAGGAACTGTAATACTTTTATTGCAGAGCTATAGATGCAGTAACATAAGCACTGTTAAGAATGGCGGCAGCCCCATGGGCATAATAGGATATAGGGTATTCGTATGCATCCCCCCCAGAGCACTGGCCAACTAGGCACCCTCCCGCGTGCGGGATAAAGCTTGGAGACCGTTAGGTAGCTAAAGCTGAGAACCAACACTCTCCCATGGCACCTAGGAAAAACCCAGACAATACAACTCCCTCCTGCACATCTGTATAGATAAGCATTTCGGCGCAAAGCAGAACAAGCACAGAAAGGAATGCAGTAGCAATTAACTAGACACAGACCGAGCTCCCCAACCCCCATGGCAGCGTAGCTGACAGAGAGAGGCTTCGGTAAGGTATAATGCCTTTCAGTCCACTTTCTTCCAAAGTTTGGTGTAGTGGTTAGGAGTGCGGACTCTAATCTGGGAAAACCTGGTTGGATTCCCCACTCCTCCACATGCAGCTGCTGGCGTGACCTTGGGTCAGTCACAAGTTCTCTCAGAGCTGTTCTCTCATTAGCAGTTCTCGAAAGAGCTCTCTCAGCCCCACCTACCTCTCAGGGTGTCTGTTATGGGCAGGGGAAGAGAAAGGAGTTTGTAACCAGCTCTGAGCCTCTTTCAGGTAGTGAAGGGTGGGGTATAAATCCAATCTCTTCTTCTCTTCAAAATAGCCATTTTCTGTTAAAGGAATGGAATACATATTTTACATAAATAAATCAGCAATTGATGTAGTCTGGAGATCGGCTGCTATTCTAGGAGATCTCCAGGTCCCACCTAACGATTGGCAGCCCTAGGTCTGGAAGGCCCAGGGTTTGAATCCCCACCCTGCCATGGAAGCTCACCGGGTGACCTTGGGCCAGTTAGTCTCTCTCAGCCTAACCTATGCCACAGGCTCCTTCTTCTAAGGTGGAGGGGAGAACGGTATTTCTAAGACCCTTTAGATCACCGTTGGGAAGGAAAGCAGGAGGTATCTGTACCTACATTAAATAAATATTGGCCTACCTACCTGGGCAGTGTGAACACAGAAAGGCTTACGCAAGGCCTAAATAGTATTATTTCCTTCGGTTAAGGCCTTATGACCAATGTTCCCTCTAAGCAAAAATTCAACTTTGTGAGCTACTGGAATTAAAATTGCGAGCGAGTGATTTGGCTACTGCATCAATTAGTTTACTCTGGAGCCATCCTTCCTGAGCTAAGACAAAAATCTGTAAGCTGGAGGCTAAAAAAATGTGAGCTAGTTTACACTAACTTAGTTTAGAGGGAACATTGCTTATGACTAAATGGAAATGGAGGCAAAAGTGGTATGTTTTTGTCTTTAAAAATGTAATTCTATTTTAAGCTGTTTTTATAGATTTGTAAGTTAGTATGGGTACCAAATTTTAAATTCCATTTATGGCCCATTTTTTCTTCCCAACGGGGACCCGAAGAGGCTTACAACATTATTATCTCCTGCTCCATTTTATCTCCACAACATCCCTGTGAGGTAAGATAGGATGAGAATTTGTGGCTGACCCAAGGCCCAGCAAGCATCTGTTTTATTTATTTTTTAAAAATTATGTATTTATTGTTTCTGCTATTTGTAGTCTGCCTTTCTCACTTGAACTCAAGACAGACTTGAACTCAAGACAGTGAGTCAATACAACCAATGGGATGTGACATTCAATAACGCAGTGGGATTAGGGTTGTAGAACCAACCAGAAATCTAAACACAGAGCTGAAGCAAAATCTGATTATTAGCATGACACATTAAACATTGCAAAAATTGCACAGTTAGATCCTATTTAGAGTAAGCTGTACAGAGTCGTATAAACCACCACCCTCAATAGTTTATCCAAGTAATCTTGTGGATAATTTTATACAGTGTAGCCCTATTAAGGTAAAGGTAAAGGTTCCCTTGCTCGAAAGCCAGTTGAATCCGACTCTAGGGTTGTGGTGCTCATCTCCGTTTCAAAGCCAAAGAGCCAGCGCTGTCTGAAGATGTTTCCGTGGTCATGTGGCCGGCATGACTAGACACCGAGGTGCACGGAAACCTGTTACCTTCCCACCGAAGTGGTACCTATTTATCTACTTGCAATGTCTTGCTTTCGAACGGCTAGGTTGGCAGGAGCTGGAACTAGAGATGGGAGCTCACTCCATCATGTTGCACCCGGGTATCGAACTGCTGAACTACTGACTTTCCACAGCCTGCAGTTCAGCGTCTTAACCACTTGAGCCACCGCAGCTCCTATTGCCTGTGGAGAAAAGTCCACTTGAAGAATTCAGGCAGGCCGTTCCATAAGGTGGGGCCGCAGACATACAGGCAGATGTTGATTTTTGCCCATTTGCAGGCTGGCACCTGCAAAAGGCCCTATTCAGATGAGCAAAGCAGTCGTGGCCGAGTATAGGGGGAGAGAATATGAGGTTCGAAGGCCTTGAAGCTTTGTATGTGACAGCCAGTATTTTAAATTGAGCCCAGCAACTGGGCAGCCAGTGGAGTTAATGCAGAATTGGAGCATTATGCCTGCTCTGCCTAGCTTCCAGTAATAGAAGAAGAAGAGTAGGTTTTAATACCTTGCTTTTCTCTATCTTAAGGAGTCTCAAAGCGGCTTACAATCATCTTTCCCTTCCCCTCCCCACTGTTAGCAGAGTGTAGATGTGGGGTAAAAAGGAGCACAAGCTGTTTAAAGAATTAAGTCGGTTTATTAAGAAGAGAACAAAATTTGTAAGGAGGAGGAGAGAGAGGTCTAACTGTCTAACTAGGAGGGAGTCTGCAGAGAAGCCGCTCTCAGCAGGAGCAGGAAGACGATCTAACTGAGCCAATCAGAAGACAGGAAGGAGACTCTTTGAAAATAACAGGAAGTCCCTAATCTCACTTTGGTAACTAGTTGTCCCCCTGCAGGATGTTCTTGTCCTCTTCTCTATCTGTGCACAATAGAACTTGTGTGTTCCATCGCCCACAACAGGCACCCTGTGAGGTAGGTGGGGCTGAGAGAGCTCTGAGAGAACTGTGACTGGCAATGTTCCCTCTAAGCTGTGGAGTCTTGTGAGCAAAAATTCTACTTTGTGAGCTACTGGCATTAAAGTTGAGAGCGAACGATTTGGCTGCTGCATAAATCAGTTTGCTTTGGGCCATCCTTCCTGGGCTAAGACAAAAATGTGTGAGCCGGAGGCTAAAAAACTGTGAGCTAGCTCACACTAACTCAGCTTAGAGGGAACACTGGTGACTGGCCCAAGGTCACCCAGCAGGCTTCATGTGGAGGAGTGGGGAATCAAACCTGGTTCTCCAGATTAGAGTCCCCTGCTCTTAACCACTACACTGCTATGGCTCTCATAGCCAAGCTGCGGCATTCTGCACCAGCTGGAGTTTCTGAATTGATTTTGAGGGGAGGCTATTCCATGACAGGATGAGGGATTCAATACTGGATGCTAATCTGACACTCTAACCACTACGCCCTGCTGGCTTTTAGGAGGGTTACAAGTGCAATCAGTGGATGCATAATCAAACATGAGCCGTCGTCGGATTGAAGTATTGAGCATGCTCGTATTGCGGAATATAAGTTTACAGAGAGGGTTGACCTTTAATTTGTGGGCCATTAGACTCATTGTTAACTGTCCTGCTAATGTTAACAATATAGAGTTGGCTTTCCTGAGGCCAGGGAAGGTGGAAGAAAACAATGAGGTTTTTAGAGGGGGGGGGGATGTGAATATAATGGTTCCGTTATAGCACGGGTTATGAACAAAGCACTTTAAAAAAATGAAATGTTCAACTCAGCCTACAGCGAAGCCAGACAAATTGGATTCGAATCCATTTAGCCATGTTGTCATTAGTCCAAAGGTTTGCATTTATAACTGCCTCGATACTGTGAGCACTGGCACAGAAACGTTTTCCAGAAAGGCTGGTGCAGGGAGGAAACTTGCCAGCTCACGGAGAGCCACTGTGGTGTAATGCTCAGCGGTGTTTATCAGCTTCATTTGGGCCTAGGGTTCTAGGCTGTGCCCGGGAACTGGGAGGGGGTTCGGGGTGGGGGACATGTGGAGTGTGTGCCACTACATCACTTCCAGGTTTTGGAGAGTAGAAACTAGGGTTGGCAGCTCCGGGTTGGGGGAGATTTTGGGGGTGGAGCCTGGGAAGGATGGGGTTTGAGGAGAGGAGGGATCTCAGTGGGGTGTGATGTCATACAGCCCGCCTTCCAAAGCATCCATTTTCTCCAGGGGAACTGATCGCTGTAACCTGGAGGCCAGTTGGAATTCCAGATCTCCGGCCACCCCCTGGAGACTGGCAACCCTACCAGAAACTCTACGGTTTCCCCCCCAGAACCGAAACAGTGGTGCACAGGATGCCTTTAAAAAAACCAAACAGAATTATCCCATTGCTACTTGGAGCGGAGGTGGGCAAGGATGGCGGCCAGCCCTATTTACACCCTGCTTTTCTCGCCGGTGGGTACCCAAAGCAGCTTCCCCTCATTCTCCTCTCCTCTCCGTTTTATCCTCATGAAAACCCGGTGAGGCTGAGAATGTGTGACTGGCCCAAGGTCACCCAGCAAGCTTCTCAGGCCGAGTAGGGGATTGAACCTGCATCTCCCAGTTCCTGTTCTGATAGACTAACTGCTACATTATACACTGTGCCTTTGCCCTGAGCTGGATAGCCCAGACTGGCCCGATCTCATCAGATCTTGGAAGCTAAGCAGGGTCGGCCCTGGCTAGTAAATGGATGTGAGACCTCCAAGGAATACCAGGGTCGTGACACAGAGGCAGGCAATGGCAAACCATCACTGAACGTCGCTTGCCTTGAAAACCCTACAAGGTTGCCCTGAGTCACCTGTGACTTGACGGCACTTCCCACCACCTCCATGCACGATGCCTTTACAACCTGGCTGGTGTTTCCAAAAAGCAGAATGGCCAGAAGGCTTTCTTATCCAGGATGCCAATCCCCAGCCAGTGGCCAGGAGGGAGCTGGCAGCCCGAGCCAAGCCACGCCCACCTGGGAGAGCTGGTCTGATCAAGAGTTGGAGCTGGGCCAGTTGAAGAAGGCCACGAGGATCAGGAAGCACCACCTCTTGTTAGGGGAAGCTTACACTTTATCTCCTAAAGTAAAAAAAGATGAGTAAGGCGGACTATAGATTAGTAACATAACCGTTGCTGCCATCCTTAAGTATTAGTTTTCAGCTAGCTAGCACTTATGATATCGGATTGTTTTCTGATGGTTTTACCTGTGTTACAATTGTTTTATGTTTTGTCTTTTGTAAGCCGCCCTGAGCCTGCTTTGGCGGGGAGGGCGGGGTTGTGCTGCCCCCAGTCAGCGTTATCTGTAGTTTAGTAAAACTGCACTGTAACTTTAAGACGTGATGCTCCTGGGAATTGTAGTTCACAGTTAGGGGTCCCAGAAGCTTCCCTCTGACTGGCTCATTAAGAGCAATTTCCTGAGCTCAGAGGCGCAAAGATAGGAGTTTTATGGTTCTTTTCCGTTTCTTTGTCCATCAACCCATACTGCAAGGAGAGGGGAAGTCCATCTCTTTCTCACTGTCCTGTTCACAAATTGAATACATTAAATAAATAAATAAAAGCCATTGCCTAAAGGCCTACCGGGGCATAGTAGGTAGAGAGTGTCAGATTCGAATCTGGAAGACTGAGGTTCGGCTCTCCACTTTGCCATGGAAGCTGCCTGGGTGATCTTGAGCCAATCTCTCCCTCTGTCTCTCCCTCTCTCTGTCTCCGGCCCGGTCTGCATTTAGCATTTGCTCCATTTTACCAAACCCACACTGGAACAGAAAAGGATGTGGCTCAAAACCACGTTCAAATACCCTTACTGACTGCAGAGTCATCCCTGAATGGCCATAAAACAGCCGTAAATCTATGCAGACAGTTACCGTAAAACCGAGAGATCAAAGGAAGTGAGACCGGCATGTAGTCCGGAGTCACTGCCATAAAATCCGACAATCCAAGTGAAAGTGGCATGTAATGTAGGGGGGAAATTCTGTTCCAGCTGGGTTTGATAAAACAACGGAGCAAATGCTAGAGGCAGAATGGGCCTTTGTCTCTCAGCCTCTCAGGGTTGTGAGGATAAAGCGGAGTAGGAGACTGCTTTGGGACATCATTGGGGAGAAAAGTGGAGTATCTAAATAAATGAATAAATTCAACATTCTTGTGTCACAGAGACCCGTAACCCCATTCAGTTTTGGCCCTCTAACCCCACGTAAGGGGCATGTGCAGCACCTGAAGTCCTCCCAGTACATGTCGCCACTGAACTGTGTGAAGAGGGTGATGCGTGTGCTTTCCTGTGTGCATTTGGTTTACATGAGTGCATACTCTTAACAAAGCCCCCTCTATGTGTACCAAAGCTGTGAAATACTCTTCTGGGCCTTTTTGTATAAAATGGAGAGACAGTGTATTGGGAGGATCATGGCTGGTGCACTCTCAGCTTATGTGTGGTTGGAGCGCCAAGATGGAACATTTGAAAAGGGCTATTTTCCTGCATTGTGCAGGGGGTTGGGCTAGATGACCCTGGCGGTCCCCTCCAACCCTGTGATTCTGTCTCCACAGGATCGAGGTAAGCCTCCATTGGGATAAGGATGACTGTGGGTTAAGGCAGGAAAGCCACATGAACACAAACTGGTTGTAAATACTTTTTGGAATCCCCCCCCCTTTTGAACTGCAGTTCTCCCTGCAAGAACGGTGGCACCTGTGTGGATGATGATGGCTTCGCACCCCGACCCTCCTGCCTGTGTCTTCCTGGCTTTGCCGGCATGTCTTGTGAAACGGAGGCAGACCCCTGCGAGTCGAACCCGTGTCAGAATGGAGGAAGGTGTACCAACATCAGCGGGGGCTTCAGCTGTCAATGCCCTGCTGGGTACGGAGGTGTGTTCTGCGGCAGCCCCGTCACATTCTGTGCCAGCAACCCATGCGCCAATGGCGGGACGTGTCATGAACACCCGGAAGGAGGTTTCGAATGTCTTTGCAAGCCACACTTTGTCGGGGTCACCTGTGCTTCTCGCCACAGAAATGCCAGTGGGATCACGCTGGCCAAACACAAGCAGAATCACCACCTGCACGTGAAAGTTTCCCACAGACCGTTTCGTCCACAAGAACAGGATGTCCTGACCATAAGAGAGACCATTGAAAACAGGCCCTCCTTCCTCAATAAGAGCCAGGTCATTTGCTTCATCGTCTTGGGCTTGCTGACATGTCTCATCGTGCTGGGAACTGCGGGGATTGTGTTTTTTTCCAAGTTTGAAATGTGGCTCGCAAACGCCCGATACACCCACCTGGTGCGTAAGGAGCGGGATTGCTACCTGAAGGCCAATGAGGGCGAGAACCTTTCAGTGAACATCATTTTCCCCGAGAAAATCAAACTGACCGACTACTCTAAGAACTATACAGCCATCTAGTTTCTACCCACCGCTTTTTGTTTTAACCCCAACCAGTCAAGGTAGTATCGTTCTTGTCGTAGCGGTGGCTGGCTTTTCATGTTTGTTTATGGAAATGTTTGCTGGCTTTGGGGACCAGCTGATGAACCAGGAACAGGTTTTATTTGTGTCTCCCAGAGAATGACTCTGTTCCAGTTTTTTTTTAAAGAAGAGAGTTCAGAATCATATTGGGTTGGATACAGCTTGGTGTTTTCATGGGCATAAGGATTTCCGTCCACAGCGCATGAGTTTTGTGACTCCCACTTTCCATGATACCTGAAGACAGCCTGTGAAATCGTGCTCCTGGCAGAGAGGGCAACCCCTCAGGAAGACTATTTGGGGGGTCATTTGGGGCTGCTGAGGGAAGGGGGAGCCACAGACGTTCTGCTCCATGAGTACGATGCACTTAGACATGAGGAACTGCTGCACTGGAACCAACCTCCTGCAAACCAATGAATCTTAATTTCCTTTTTTAAAAAATAAAAAAGTTAGGTGAGCCTTTGTAATATAAGACAACGGTTGTCATCGTATCGTGGTGCATGCTTTGCCATTGTGGTTCTTCAGTGTCACTTCTCAGTGCTTATTTCTAATAAACAGTGATTAAGGGCTACGTAAAGTTTCCTTCTTCGGGAGCATTGGTTATGCTTCATGGGCATTGACATGGGCATTACCTTCACGGGCATGACCTTTGGTCTGATTTTGGTATGGATGAGGCTGATGCCTGGATGATGGACATGGTCCTCTTTATTCAGTCATATTCATAATTCAGCATTTGACACAGCTGGGGTGCGCAAATTAAATTAAAGATAAAATACAATAAATTGAAATTAAATTACCTCCAGTGAGCTTCAAAGACAGGTAGGGCAGTGGGTGGTGAGCTTGTCCACCCCAACCCACGTGGCCAGGCACTTCGTGGGGGGGGGGGGGGGCACAACCTTGTGCCCCCGTCCCCCCCCCCCCCCCGGCCGAAGGAAGGAAGGAGATTATCCTTTGGGCCGGCACAGTGGCAACCTGAAGCGGCATAGCTTAAACAAGTTATGTAAAAATTTAAAAAGGGAAGATTGGGGGGGGGGCATAGAAGACGTGTTAGGAGGCGCCACATGCTGTGCCCTCCTCTGGCTACGGCTCTGATTTGACAATAGATGTTCCATGTGGAGGTGTGTACACACAATGGCCTGGTTCTGCCTTCTGCACAAAGAACAGGTGGATCTGGATGAGTGCCTACATCACCTGTTGATTTAGAGGTGTGGTGGAGGGAAGGAGCTATGTGCTGGAGCTTCCGCCATGTGGCCTAGAGCATCAACCTGGTGAAATGTCTAAGCGGGATCACAGGTGTTCCCCCACATACAGTCCATGTGGCAAGGAAAGATTCTTTTCCATCATTGTTCTCTGAAATTTGGAGGGCATGTGCTTCACCACTGAGCTAGGCCAGTTTGGTGTAGTGGTTAAGTGTGCCGACTCTAATCTGGGAGAACCGGGTTTGATTCCCCACTCCTCCACTTGCACCTGCTGATGTGACCTTGGGTCAGTCACAAGCTCTGGCACAGCTGTCCTTGGAAAAGAGCAGTTTGTGTCAGAGCTCTCTCAGCCCCACCCACCTCACAGGGTGTCTGTTGTGGGGAGGGGAAGGGAAAGGACTTTGTAAGCCGCTCTGAGACACCTTTGGGTAGTGAAGGGTGGGGTATAAATCCAATCTTTTCTTCTTCTTCTTCCTTCACAACATGGCTGGGTCTTGTAGATTTAGGTGGTCCATAGCATCAGTTATTACCATGCTAAGTACACACTATAGAAGAAGAGGAGGAGTAGGTTTTTATACCCGCTTTTCTCTCCCCTAAGGAATCTCAAAGTGACTTACAATCTCCTTTCCCTTCCTCTCCCCACAACAGAGACCTTGTGAGGTAGGTGGGGCTGAGAGAGCTCTGAAAGGACTGTGACTGGCCCCAAGGTCACCCAGCAGGCTTCAGGTGGAGGAGGAGTGGGGAATCAAACCCAGTTCTCCAGATTAGAGTCTGCTGCTCTTAACCAGTCTACCATGCTGGCTCTATAGCTTGTTTATGTGAACCTCAAAGCTATGGGACTGATGCAGAGATTGATGTGGTACAAGAGCTCATGACTTTTGCCCCTAAGCTCAAGGTTTTTGTGTTGTTTTGGGAGCGTCAGGTGTTTTCATTTCACTCATTATTAATCCCATTAAGTGTTTTTAGCCTAAGGAATGGAACGGATAAATTACCATCCAGAAGCGGCTTCCCCCGCTCCTGCTCCTCCTCCTCTCCCACCAGCAGTTCAGCAGAACTGACTGAAGCAGTGGTGGCCAGACAGCCAATCCGCAGGAGGATGGGAGGAGACGATCTCTCCCTCCCCCTTTCCCTCTCCCCCTCTTCCCTGGCAGCCTTAGACACTGTTGCGCCATGCCTTGGTGTAACCTTGGGAAATGCTTGTGTCAAGCATCCTGTGAACTACCGTGTTTCCCCGAAAATAAGACACTGTCTTATATTTATTTTTTCTCAAGAAGACACATTAGGGCTTATACCACAAATGCATACCCTGTTTCCCCGAAAATAAGACCTACCCCAATAATAAGCCCTAGCAGGATTTCTATGCATTTGTGGTATAAGCCCTAATGTGTCTTCTTGAGAAAAAATAAATATAAGACAGTGTCTTATTTTCGGGGAAACACGGTAGAAATCCTGCTAGGGCTTATTATTGGGGTAGGTCTTATTTTCGGGGAAACGGTATATTTCCCAGGATGCGTCAGGGCATAGTAGGCTTGCCAACTTCCAGGTGGGTATAGCAACTCGAGCTGCAGTGTTAGGAAAGTCAAGTAACTAATAAATATACACTGCAAGAAACTTTTGTAAATTAATGTGTTCTGTTTATAATTAACATTCTATAAAGTGCACTGTGTATTCTTATAATATCCTAATCAGGTGTATATATTCAGTACATTTGGTATAACAATAACAGACATGGTAGTTGTTATATTGTATGAACTGTATATTATTGTTATATTGAATGTACTGAATTAGAATGTTATAAGAATACACAATTATATATTATTGTTATATTGAATGTACTGAATTAGAATGTTATAAGAATACACAACGTACTTTATAGAATGTTAATTATGAGCAGAACACATTAATTTACAAAAGTTTCTTGCAGTGTTTATTTATTCGTTACTTGAACCTCCAGGTGGGGACCGGAGATCTCCCAGAATTACAACTGATCTATCTCCAGAGTATAAAAATCGCTTATCTGTTTATTATTTATTTACTTAAAACATTTACTCCACTTCTCCTGAAGAAAATGGCTGCTTTGGAAAGCGGACTGCATGAGATAATAACCTCCTGAGGTCCCTTCCCTCCCTAGATCCTGGTCTCCCCAGATACTTGGATCTGAGGCCCTGGGAAAAGAGGGCAGAGACCATATTACACCCTCCCCATCAGCTGCCTGGCCAGCCACCTGCCTTGCTGGAAAACTGAATGTCACTTTCCCAAGCTTGGTTCTTAATGGGGTGGGGGCGGAGAAGTTAGGGAGGAAAGGAAGGCAATCTCCTATTTGGATATTCATTTGCTTTGGAAGAGCCCCATTCATATTTTCATTCATTTTTGGTATCCTAACTGGTAAAATGGATGGGGTGTTTTTGAATCACTGTCAAATGCTTGACAGAGAGAAAGAGAAGTTCATTGCGTATGGCCAAAGGCCGTTACAATCAAAAGAGCACACACATGTGCTTCAGAAGAACATAAAGCACAGGAATGAACAGAAGTGACAATGAAAATGTTTTAATTAGATTTAAAAGCTATAGAAAACCCTAGACCAAAGACACCAAGCCATTAGATGTACCTCAGTGGTATAGGCTTCAAGCATGACTACAGACCGAATTTTCATGGGAGCCAAGGTATACAATGATACCCAGTAGGTAACTTGGATTTGAGGTCCCGGGAAAGGGGGAGAGATTGTCTGACTGGTCAGCCACCTGCCTTACTGGACAGCTGACCACTGCCTTCCCAAGCTTCGTGCCACAAAACAGTAAGTAGTAGGCTTAATGGAGTAGGGTGGAAGAGAAGGGAGAAAGAAGAGAAGGGTGACCACCAATTCTGATATTCATTTGCTTGGGGAAAAGGCTCGGATGTTTTCAACCATTTTTGGTATCCTAAGGGATAAAATGAATGGGCCTTTTTTTTTTTTGATCACTTCATCAAACAAATGCTTATCTGTAGTCTAAATGTAGGTGCAAAAACTATAATAAGCACCCAGGCGTAGTCTGGGTCCATTTGACTTTGGCAGCAGCACCAGCAGGTTTGGAAATAAGTGAGGAGACCTTGCCCAAATAGATTAACAGAAAAGCAAATCAACGAAAGTGTCAACTTGAATGTCAGATTGAATGTAATATTCCTATATAGGATTGGTTCCTGAGAAAAGACCAGAGGTCTGAAACAAATATCCGGGAAAAAGTGTTGAAAGAGAGATACAGATTGATTTAATTTGGAGCAGACTGCTTTTGAGAATACAAGACTGTTAGACGGAGATAGACTGAGAGAGTCTGGAGCAGACTACTATATGAAATCTTATCGACCTTTGTATTTTTTCTATGAAGGAATAAGTGGTTGTTGTTGGATTTTTAAAATTGTAATTCAGCAGAGTTAAAATAGCTTAGCAATGCCAGAGTAAAATAATCAGACTCAGAGTCCATGTGTGTTTAAAATAGAAAAGTTTTACTACATCCTAGCATAGGGAAAGGGTAACTGGGATGAAAATAACAGCACAGCTAAATAGCTACATCCTCACTCTACAAAGGACAACACTAGAAGAGCTAGCAATGGCTTCTCTTACTTCTTCAGAACAGAACACAAAGACGGGAAGAGGAGCCATAAAATGCTAAAATACTTTGACACTTTGCTTCCAATGAAACTCCTAGATCAGGGATGGTTTTCCTGGGCTTGCAGTTCTAAACTAGCATTGGCTTATATAAAAGCATGTGATTTCCTGTGACAACACAAACAGACATTTAACCCCATATATA